GCCTCCTTCACTTGCATTGAGATCTCCTTGAACTTCAAATTGGTAGCTCCAGTCAAACAGCTGCCAAATGCCAACTCAACTCCAGACCATTTATCTGCTTCATTTGTCTCGAAGTAACGAGGGAATGGACCGCACCTGGTCAATTAACTTCTTGTCAATCAATTGTCCAAATACCTTTGAGCCCCTGAAAATGGAGGTACTTTGTTGAAAATAGCTGTAATTCCTAAATGGTAAATGCCATATTTTTGTGGAACCTCTTAAAATAAAGCTGAAAGTCTACACTTCGATCACACCTTGATTGTTTTATTTTAAATCCATTGTGGTGGTATATAAAGGCAAAATCACAAAAACTCTGTCATTGTCCAAATACTTCTGGACCTGACTGTACACTTGTGATTATTTGTTTCACGGTCTGAAGTGGAAGTGCATCAGGAAATCTGTGCAAGCATTTCTTCCGCACCGTATCACCCAGCCTCTCCAAATTAAATTTAATATTTTCATACTTATACTCCCACACTCATACAATTTTAGAGACAAAGGCAATGAAATATTTAGGACCATCTACAAAATACAATTGCAAGTGTACAACGCAACAAATATGTTTGACAAATTAACCTGACTGTAATAATGGTCCCCAAAGTAAACATAAGGCAACAGGTATTAAATAACAGGTAACATATAAGTATAATATTATACATAAATATCCACAAAGGGACCTGAGACAAAAAAAAGAATGATCTTTTTTAATACTAAGTCATATATATAGCTGCAAGCATTAGTTGAAGTATCAAATATATGCTCATATGTGGACAGTATTGTATATTGTTACCAAATAACATGATTAAAATGTAAAAATTAACTAAAGAAAGGAGGAAAATCAGTACATAGTTACGGATCAATAATAATGTAGTCTATGTAGTCTATGAAGTGATACAGCAGTGCATGATTTTCTCACATGCAATCAGCAGTGTTCATTATAATGAACAGGAGAAAGAATAACAATCAGCAAAGCTAAAACCTAGTGGCATGAATTCTAATTTAAGTGAACCAACACTACTTAGGCAAACCACAAAAAAAAAAAAAAAAAAACATTTTAAATAAATAAATAAACCTCCACTTTGTTATTTTGGTGCAGCTTTCAAAAGTGCAGCTGTATAAGCAACAGAAACAGGATGCCATGCAAAACCCTTTACTATTCTCCAAACCACCATTAGCTTTTTCTACTCAAATGATACCCCAGACTTTTCATTCAGCAGAGTCACTAATAATACACCTAATTTAAATATGCTAAAATAAGGGTAAAATAAGTTTTTGAATAGAAATATCAAAGCCACATCAAATGTAGCTAGGTTAGTTAATCAGTGGGTAATACTAAAATTAACTAACCGTTAATTAATTCTAGGGGAAAAGGGTACTGTTTTCACAATATTTTATGAAAAGATTTAATATTCAGTTGAGTGCAAATGTTTGCATCCCCCACAGTGTTTAGGTGAGAAAATGTACCTTAATCAAATCAAAGAATTTCAAGAAGCTAAAAATGAAATATGCTTTAACAAGATAACAATCCAAAACATGCATATAAAATAAGAAGTCAAAGTTTTGTCATGCTTCTTGTTCTCTAGACCTGTTTGAGTTATAGAAGATACACTACCAGTTAAAAGCATGGACACACTAGATATATTTCCACTGTCTTAAAGATGGTTGAAATTTGTTTCTAAGACAAATATTGTTGTTGTTGTTCTTTCAGCACAGTCACCACAGCAGATCATTGGTCTGCATGTTTGATTTGGCACAGGTTTTTACAATGGATGCCATTCCTGACACAACCCTCCCATTTTATCCAGGCTTGGGACTGGCACTGAGAGTACACTCCCAGTGGTTGGGTTGGTTCGTTCCCTGCCCAGGAATCAAACCCAGGCCACAGCAGTAAGAGCAAGGTATTCTTAGCCACTAGACCACCAGGGACCTCTTTCTAAAACAAATGTAAGCAATGAAAATAATGCCCATGTAGAAATTTATTTCTGAATCAAAATGTATTTTGTACTAAAAATTAAATAATTTCCTCAAACAAGTAGTTTTCATTTAGGACTTAGGAGAAGCAGTGAGGACTTCAGCCTCTTTGAGAACTTTATGAAAAGCTTTCTGGGTGAAACTTCCTCATGAACTCCCTCATGACTTCATCATGATTCTCATGAATTGAAAATAAAAAATACTTTTGATTTGTTTTCCTTGGTTGCTTTGATTTGATTCTAAAATAATAGGAATTGAAAATGAAGAAAACACTTGTATGAGTCGGGGAGTCCAAACTTCTGCACTGGTAGCATATGTCAGTGTAGACAGAGTTAGCCATTCATTCAGTCAGGGACAACTGACCTGACAACCAAACAAGTCTATGTTTTGGGGTTGTGACAGGGCACTTATGCTGTGAATTACCAAAAGACGTGATGTTAGGATACATCATGAATGTTTCATAACTTTTCTATTTTTTGATACAAGCTGCATTTGCTTCTGCTAAAAAGTAATCCTTGTATATGAGTAGTTCTATAGGTAGTCTTGTGTTATCGATTTTTACAGCATTATTTGAAGCTTCCAGACATCTCATTACTGCCAAGCGTAAAGTTTGTGTCTACCTTTAGCTGCATGAATGGAAGCAAAAGTATGGCTCATTTGGGACTGAATATTCACTAACAAGTTCAGGACCCAGATGAGACCAGGCAGAGTTCAGTCTGCAAAATAACATAGAAAATATGTGTGTGTGTGTGTGTGTGTGAGAGAGAGAGAGAGAGAGAGAGAGAGAGAGAGAGAGAGAGAGAGAGAGAGAGAGAGAAATTGTTGAGGGTGCTTTGGCATTTCTGTACATGGCTACTGTGAATCTGGCTGTTATCAGTTTTTGAACATTGGCCATTTCTAGCCTCTCTCTGCCCACCAGAGGCCCTGAAAATGGGGATTGGTTTCAGGGTGAATGTGTGTGTGTGTGTGTGTGTGTGTGTGTGTGTGTGTGTGTGTGTGTGTGAGAGAGAGAGAGAGAGAGAGAGAGAGAGAGAGAGAGAGAGAGAATGGTTTTTATCAAACCTGCAGGCTCTTTATGTCATTCCCAGATTACAGTGCTGGGGAGAGTGTGATTGACAGAGTCTGGCCTAAGCTGGCCGTGTGGAAAGGGGGTGGAGGGGCCGACAGGGATTTGCACTGACTGCTCAAGCTTCTATTACCCTCACTGTTCTGTCACACCAGGAACGGAGCATGTGGCACACTGAAAAAAAGCCTCAGTCTGCATAATTTAATATATTCTCTATCTTCGGCTTTCTTTCTCCTCCTCTCTCACTGACAAAAGGGGGTCGCTTTTGTTCCAGATAAGGGTTAATGAGTTTTTGAGCAAATGCTGCTGGGGAACTGTACAAAACTCTAAAACTCCACTGGTTATTAAACACAACAGAAATAACTCAAAAAGAAAAGAAAATAAACTTACGCCAACACAACTTATCTACAAGTGTTCACAACAATTTCAGTAGTTGTCTATCATGTAAGGAGTCAAACATACATTACAGTGCAAGTATTAGAATGTTAGTTTGGGTGTAATTTCCTGATATTTAGGATGGAAGACCACCCAATTTATATGTGAACAAAAGTATTGGAACAGATAGCCTTAAAGTAAATTACACTTAATATTTGGTTGCATATTCCTTGCTTGCAATAACTGCATCAAGTTGGTGACCACTGGATCATGAGCAGATCCTTTCTTTCTCCACACTTGCATCTTGTGATATGGCCTCTACATTTTTTCTCTCAAAGTCTTTTTCAAATGGTGGATTGTGAGACGTTCACCCCTGCCCTGTGGAGGTTGTTGGTGATGTCACTGACTGTGGTTTCTGTGTTTTTCTTCACAGCTCTCACAATATTTCTGTCATCAACTGCTGTTGTTTTCTTTGACCGACCTGTTCAGTGTCTGGTTGTTAGTACACCAGTGGTTTCTTTCTTTTTCAGGACATTCCAAATTGTTGTACTGGCAATGCCCAGTGAAAATTTTTATCAATTTTCCCTCTTTTCTTAGTTTCAAAATAGCTTGCTTTTCTCCCATTGATAGCTCTCTGGTCTTCATATAGGTTTATCCTTTTTAACAACAAATGCAGTCTTCACAGGTGAAACCCAGGGCTTAAACCAAGAGTAGACATTCATAGCTATTAACTGTTTAAACAATCACTCTAACAGGGCCCACCTGGGCAACAAGAGATACCTGTCAGTCACATGTTCCAGTATTTTTGATCACTTGAAAAATGGGTGGGTTCAAACAAAAGGTGCCATGTTCTTGTTTAACACATCTAGATGTAAATATCAGGAAATGAAAGCTTAAATTCTGATCTATCATTTCATATTCAACTTTTGATCTCAAACTCAAATGTCTTCAGTGTATAGCAAAAACAAAAGAAATGGCCTTGCTGTTCCAATACGTTCAGAGGGGACTGTAAGTACAGGCAAAAAAGAAATTCCTCTATGGTTCACTGAATAACATTCACACAGTTTGACCATGTCAAGCTAGGATGCCCTGAATATTTCACTCTTAAATCATCCATGGGCTTACAGACAAACTTTTGTTCACAAACTACAACCAGACTTCAAACACTAAAGCAAAATGCTGCTTATTACATTTAGATTTTACTCTGGATCAGGTATGCTCATTTTATATTTTCTGTAACAGTTGGTGACACACCATTTAAAGCTGCACTATGAAACTATTTCTGAAATATAATACTGAGAGGCAGTTACTCTAACTCAGCAAAATAACATGACACAAAATGGTGACCCCATTCATCATTCCAACCTTAATAAAACAAATGTATGTCCCAGTATACTAACATTTACTACAGTCCTCCTTAAATTGGTTCCAACTGAAGTAGAGATTTTCTGATAACTGCAAATGATTTATCATACAGAATAAAATGTGACTTATTAAATGTTAAACCTAATTTGGAACATTGCCTTACCAACATGCATAAAGATGGATTTTGAAGCAAAATCATGTAGTAAATTTCATTTTATATGGTAAATGTAATTACGCCTCCAACCTTTGAAGGATGATACAGTACCATAGATTAAATCAGGGAATATCCATGAGTGTGTGGAGATTTAATTTCATAAAAGAGATAGACGATGAGGGACTGTGTGGTTATAATGGAAGAAGTGCGCTCTCTAGTGGACTGCAATGAAAATTCAGGTTTATGCCTGAACTTAAAAAAACAAATAAATAAAAAATCACATTAAGAAGCATCTCCTCTCACAAACTAATTTCTCAGAATGATTTAATAACCCTTAACCTTAACTCACACACAAAGATGTTTGATGTGCATAATTAAATTTGCTTACTGATTTCCTGCGTACTCTTCAAATCAATTGAAAGACAGAAAAGACACTATAAGGACAGATTTACCAACCAAATCATGTCCACGTTATAAATTAAATGAGAGAATAGTAAGAAAAGGAAAAAGGAGTCACCACACTCAGCAGTCAATTGGAGAAGAGGGAGTTATTTCAGGTCTATTAAAGTGACATTTATTAACAAAAAAAAAAAAAAAAAAACACCTAAAGCACAATTTACAAAATATGCATCTTTCTGTATCACAACTGTACAATGGTTGTTAAAATACACTCCAGGTATACATGAAGTATTTTAAGAACTTTCTCCATTGGCACACCACAAACAGAAGAGAAAGACAATAAGAGTGAGATGGGGAGAGACACAAAAATGACTGCTAATTTGAATACAGTGAGAAATCATGTTACCCTACCTAAATGGGACAGAGGTAACAGAACAGCTTAAAACAGTCTTTACCTGGATTAACATTGCATAATAACAGTTATCCTGATTTTGTTTATTTTATGTGCGTTTGCCTCCTTGAAGATGCAGCATTAGCAATAGATCAGGCCATTTCATTCATGTAATATGATGGAATAAATGAAAAAGCACTGATTAAGGATCTGTGATACAAGGGGAAAAAAGATTAACAAAAAAAGGCAACATTGTTTTTAACAGCTCTCCGAAATAACATTTTTATTGTCAGCATTCTCCTTTTGGCCCATTGGGCCATTTCTACATCAGCCTTTTGGGTTTAAATGAACAAGAAAAGGCAGATGTGTGCAAGTGTTAGATTCATTCATAGCTCTGCTCACAATCCTATAGCCATGCAGCTGACAGTGAAGTGAGCAGCTGGGGTTGTCAGTTGTCTCCTTGCAAAGCCATTTATGCAGCTATTTGAGACACGAGTCATTTGTTGGCCTTGTTTTTTCTGATCAGTAGATATTGAATTATTATTAGTGGTTGGTTACATTTTCATAAAAAGGCATTTGGCTGGGTATAACAGGGGAAATCATGTACTGCAGAACAGAGTTCTCCTTAAAAATCCTCTGCTGGATGTTCAAACATTACAACTTCTTACAAAATCAATAACCACAAACTGTAATTAAAAGACTGGGAAACCTACCATCTAAACTGATTTTTACTCTACTGTAGCATTTAGTCTTTAAATCCAGCTATTATCATTAATCTCTAAGCTAATTCAATGTGGACAATCATTAAATTAATTTGAACACTGTGAAAGAAGCACACTTCCAGAGAAGGAAAAAAAAAAACAAAAAAAAAAACAAAACACTCAACTGGGTAAGAATTTCCCACCTGGAAAACAGGGCATGTTTTAACGCAGTATAACATTTCATTGCCTTTCCAGGAAATTACACAAAGAATAGCATGCAAATGAAAACTGATCAGGGTTAAGAGCTTACCATCCACACACACTATCAAAGGCTTAAAATTGGACTACAATGGACGTTCACATGCAGGTTAATATAAGTCTGACATCCCAGACATTCCATCTGTTACACAGTGGTGGAGATATCAAAATATCACCCCAAATAGTGTTGGTCCTACATAAGGATATTACATACGGATATATACTGTTCATTACATCATATAACCA